TTTTTTTAGTGTTTATTCACAATTATGCCGGTACAATTTAACTTTTCGAAAGCGATAGGGAATTTATGTATGTATAAGTCAATAATGTACCGTAGCTCCGAACATCTCATGAAAATGTCAATGGTGCGATTTTTGGAAAGCCTCTATCTCAAGTGAATATCTGTTTTTCTTGTGAAACTTTCGTTAGTGTCATCATTTATTTGATAGAGACATGTATTCAGAAAAGTTCTTTCGAATTGTTTACCTATACGCTAAACATTGTACGTTCCAGAGTACGGAGTTGCTACGCGTACGCGTAGCAAAAGGCGAACGACTTGGTAAACGTGATCTGTTTGGAGTCGTAAGTCCCTACTGCGTGGTGCGTCTAGAGAAAGCTGATGGCGAACAGATTGATGAGATCACTCTGGAAAAGAAAAAGAAGGTATAAACGATTTTTTGAGACAATATGGCGGACACTTTCTTGCATCTTGAAAGTAGGCGTAACTGGTGAAGTCATCATTTTTCTCGCAAAGAAGGACAACAAATTTTGCGCATAAATATCACTGTAAGATCCCCAGAAGATTAATACTATCCACAAAGTTGAGAAGCTTTACTCATTCATTTCATCATCTTTGTCTACACTCCTAAACACAAGCTGAAGATTCATGTCATCAACTTCCGTCGCGTGCTCTTTGATATAGATTATAGCGAAATTTCGATTTTTATATTTACATGCTCGCCTTATCTCCCGGAGACTATTTACACTTTTTACGTGGAGAGAGGAATGGTTCATGAGAAAACTAGTCTCCGCTGAGAAAAAAGACCTGAAAAAAGATTTGCGAAAGAAATGAGGGAATTAACTGGCACTATTCAGGAATTCTGGGCCTTGTTCTACTTTATTCTGAATTTCTAGATATGCTGTTAGTCGTTTCCAAAACTGTAAAACCACTAACATCATGTTGTTGGATTTACCATTAGCTCCGACCTGTTTTTTTTTTTTTTTTTGCTTTTTCAATTCTTTACTTATAACTAGCAATA